GCTGCCAATTTTCGAGCTGCCCGGCTCTCTTGCCCTCCTGAGCCACCCAGTGAAGCAGGAGTGGGGAGGAGGTGCTAATTGCCAAAGGAAAAGGGAATGAGAGGCACAGAGAGGAACCATTTTAAAGGGGAAGGAGAGAAAAGCAGAGGGAGGGGCAGGTCCGGCGTGCGCAGTGCCCTGCCTCACAGTGCTGGGGGATATGGGAGCGCACATTTTGTAGCCCACCTCATCACAGTACCAGAGCAAGTCCTGGCCTTTGCTGTATTTATTCTCACACGCCCACATGAGGCAGGGGAAGACTGTTAGCTTCTCCGTGCCTCAGTTTCCTCTCCGTAGAGCTAAGTGACTTGCCTAAGGTCACACAGGAAGCCTGGGAAGAGCAGGGAATAACCCAGGTTTCCCAAGACCTAGCGCTGAGTCCCGAGCACTGGGCTGTCCATACGTGCGCTGTAGCTTCCCACGCACGGCAACAAACCCGCTTCTATGACTTGCTCCGCTGTCTCTGCTTCCTTCAGACATCGCCCCCAAGGGATGTGGCGAAAGGGGCCCAGCTGCCGCCCCAGACCCGGGGGTGTCTGGAGAGCACAAGGGGGAGTTGCCATCTGCAGCCCCCCGCACGGGTCACAGCGGTCCTGGAATGGCTGTCCCTGGGCTCAGAGGGGGCTCCATGGGTGCCACATTGCCACGGTAACGGCTTAGCCCCAGGCCCGGAGGACGAGGCCCCCCAAGGGATGTGGCGAAAGGGGCCCAGCTGCCGCCCCAGACCCGGGGGTGTCTGGAGAGCACAAGGGGGAGTTGCCATCTGCAGCCCCCCGCACGGGTCACAGCGGTCCTGGAATGGCTGTCCCTGGGCTCAGAGGGGGCTCCATGGGTGCCACATTGCCACGGTAACGGCTTAGCCCCAGGCCCGGAGGACGAGGCCCGGGTACTTTGCCGGGGATAAGGGAGGAGGGAGAAGGCCCCGCTCTGTGCAGCGTGCACCCCGACCCTGAGCACAGAGGCCGTGGAGGATGGCCTGGGACAGACCCAGCTTGTGCTGGTTCCACAGAGCCCTT